TAATGCCTTTTTAACGTATCTTCCTGCCTTCTAGGTGATGTTTTGTTTTTTTTTGTTTTTTTTTTTTAATTTAAATAAATCCTTGCCTTTCTTCCATTTCCCACCAGAAAACTGTAGAGAGCTGTATTTCCTTCTCTCCCCTTTTTCTGCATCTCAGTAGTCACCGAGTCCCTGTTCCTTCCCACTTGTAACTAGCTCATTTATCATCAGTACTGAACTTTCATCAAAGATTAGCTATTTTCTGTGACCACTTTTGTGTAGTTGGTGGCCATTCTACTCTGTGATCAATAGGTCATTTTACTTTTGAACCTAGTTTCTCAATAAAACTAAAAAGTTGAGGTAGGTCATTTAAGGACACTATAGCTTTGCATTTTTCTAATAGAAGTAAATATTTTTATAGTGCTTTAGACTTTACCGTATCCTCTCTCATCGATCCAGTACTGTGTCTGCCTATAGCTGGCTTTAAACTCTCATTCTTCTAAGTGTTCATGACCGACTGTCAATATTGCACGCCCCCCATCCTCCTTTCACTTGATGTCTGTCTCCCAAATTAGCTATGGGTATGGAAATTGACTCAGTCCCACATCATTTGTTTTTAAATTGGGATTCACACATTCTTTCCCCATGTTCCATGTCTCATGCTTTCTGTGTCCTTTTTTTTTTCCCATTCCCTTTCCTGTTACTCATTAATATTCATTCTGTATGACTTGTATTCAATGTCCAGTGTCCTTTTTTGTTGTGAATGCCAAGTACACCTTGTGAAAAGCAAGTGACACTCCCGAGTTGCCCACCAGAGAGCAGACTTGGATATCCAAAGCTTACTGCCAGTTTTGTACCTTTGGGAACAGAATGTTATTTCAGAACAGCAGAGTCTCATCAAGAAAATATAGTATCAGGGGCCTTGGAGGTTATACTTTGGAGATTTTTTTTTTTTTTAATTAGAGCTTGTTTAACTATTGTTAGTTGGCTTGGAGCCAGGTATTCCTTTCAAAGTGTTAAAAACCGACTTGAATATTTGTGAATGGCTTCAGATAGTTTATAAACTAATATAAAACAAAGCAACATGTCTCAGATTACAGTTTTGCTAAAATCCAAGAGAAAGATGTCACTCTTATCCTCGTTTGTGCCTTATATAAATCTTTGATTTAAAAAATTCAGATATATAAAACATATGCAGTAGGTGCGGTATTAAGAAAGCAGGCAGTCATAGATCATTACCTGGTGATTTTCTCTAGAACAGAGACAGGAGCAGACATTTCTGAAGGGAGAGGAGGGTAAAGTGAGGGAAGAGGGTGAGCAGGCTCTGTCAGGTTAAGGATGACAGAGTTGGGATCCAAGGAGAGGTATTTTTCTTATAAGCTATAGCTTTGTTTTGCTCTTTAAGCCTTCTCTTTTGCCTGCTTTTAGGGTACCTTTGGGATTTGCTCAGGTCATCCTTTGTAATACTTATAATCTTGCTCTGGTTGAAACCATAGGGATAGAAATAGCTCATAAAATTAGTAGGACGTATTTAAAAGATAAAATAGCTCCACTGCTTCCAAGAATGACTCCAACGTGAGTAGGATTTGCTACCCTAATCTTATCCATATTTGGTACACCTCTTCTTGAAATTTAGAAAGACGAAGTAAGGCGATCACTCTGTCCGGATACAGAATTTGCCAGTGTATAAGATTTTAATCTGTGAATTGAGAAAATAACAATGTATTTGGGGAGCCATTCTTCTCTTAACTAGAGGGAAAAAAAGGGAAATGTCCTTAGTTATGAATGGAATCGATAGGTGCTGCTTTGCTGTAATCGGCTTGTGGCAGATGCAAATCCATGGTCTGTCAGTTGGTAATGGACTAGAGCTGGCAGCATGTTTGACCTAACTCCCAAGTTCTAGATGTGGAGTCTAGGAAGACATTGCCTAAACATATGAGTAAAGCCTCGCTGTTGGCATGTTTTTAAAGAGAGCAGAAGCCCAGTTTGAATTCCTAAGTCAAATTTCACGCTGGAGAAGAACTTTTGATTTAAGAAAACCATTTTTTTATTAGTTTCAAATATACAGTACATTTGTTAGACATTTACATAGTTTCTGAAACGATCCCCCTGATTACTCTTTCTCTCTTCCGGCTCTCCACCTAGACATTACACTAATGCTGACTGCATTCCCTATGCTGTGCTCCCCATCCCCGTGATTACTAATTTGTACTTTTTAACCCTTTACCCTTTTCTCCCAGCCCCTCAACCACCCTCCCCCTGTTTGTCTCCAGATTGTCCTCTATATTTGTGAGTCTGTTTTTGATTAGTTTGTTCTTTTTGTTCCTTAAATTCCACATGTAAGTGAAACCATACAACTTCTAGAAGAAAACATAGGCATTAATCCCTCTGATATTGCTACTAGTAATTTCTTTTCAGACATATCTCCTCAGGCAAGGGAAACAAAAGAACAAATAAACAAATGGGACTACATCAAGCTAAAAAGTTTTTGCACAGCAAAGGAAACCATCAACAAAATGAAAAGACAACCTACTGAATGGGAGAAAATATTCGCTTATGATACATCTGATAAGGGATTAATATCCAAAATATATAAAGAACTCATATAATTCAGCAACAACAACAAACAAATAATCCAATTAAAAAATGAATAGAAGACCTGAATAGATATTTCCTCGAAGAGGAAATAACATGATCAATAGACATAAGAAAACCATTTTTAATGTGGTTCTTCTGGGGTTCGTTGGGATATGTCTAAGACCTAATTTCTGTCTCTGGTAGATTAAATCTAGCTGGGAACACATTAGAGAAACATAAATGGCACTGGGATCAAATGTTAAATTTTATGGCAGAAATATTCAGAGAGGGAGCAATTAGTGTGAGCTGAAGTAATTAGTGAAAACTTTCTGGAGGAGGAGCATCTTGCACTGAGATTTAAAGCGTGTGACTAGGATGGGGATCTGAGGAACAGAAGAGACAACAAAGTTATGAAGGCGACAACAGTGAGCTGAGTGTATTGAGCAGACAATAAGGTGGGACAGAGATAAGCCTGACTAGAGCGCAGGGTTCATCAATAATACACAACAATAAAGAACAAATTATTGATATTCACACCACCATTAGTGTATCTCACAGCATTTTGTCAACAAAAGAAGCCAGATACAAAAGAGAGTATGCTGTATGATTCCATTTATATGCAGTTAAAAGAATAGGCAAAACTAATCAATGGTTATATTATCAAAATGGTGTTTACCTTGAGGAAAGTTTGTGTTATTGACTGCAAAGGGGTCAGGGTCCCTCTGGAGCCCTGGAAAAGTTCTGTATGTTAATCTAAATTATGGTTACATGGGTACATATATATGTAAAAATTGAGCTGTATACTTAAGATTAGTGTGTTTTACATATTTACTAAATACAATTTATGCCTACATAAAAAAGTTATAATAAATCAGGTCATGGAGTTTAGATTTGTTGTGGGAGGTGATAGGGAAGCATTAATGACACTTTAACAGGAAGATGACTTGAAGAAAGTGGCGATTCTAAAATTATTCTGTAGTGACGTGGAGAATGGAACAATTTTCAGATCAGCTGTTATATCTAGGTCAGATATAGTTCTAGATGCTATAGGAGACATAAAATATCCAAGACCTGGTCCTTATCCTTACGAAGTTTATCATCTTTTGGAAAAACCAAGAAAGTTACAGTAAATGATAAATGCTTAATTCACCAAAGTCAGATCTGAATCCAAATCCTAATTCTGCCATTTATTGGCTTTGTGACTGTTTATTTCCTTGATCTTTGGTTTCTTTATCTACAAAAAGTGGGAATGATATCTACCACTTCTGTTAAGAGGAATAAGAAGTATTCAAAGATTTTGTATGGCACAGTACACATTCAGTAAATGTTACTTTTTAAAAAACCATGTACCAATGGAGCAGTACTTTTTTTTTTTTGGACTGTATGCGACCTCAGTTTAGAGCATGGTTGTGCCATTTACTGGCTATGTGACCTTAAGTAGGTTCTTAATTTCTTTGAGTCTTGATCTCTTTTGAAAAGAAAAAAAGGAGGAGAAATTATACCTTAAGAGAGAGTTCTGAGAATTAAGTGAACTTAACAGATGTATAGTATCTAGCACAAAATAGGCACACTTAATAGATATGATTCATTTCTCTTGAATTTAATGGAGTTTTCAAATGTGTGGTATAAATCATGCAGGCAATAAGTGATGAATTTGGTTCACAGTGGTGACTGGGGCAGAGAAAGAAGAGGCAGATCATAGTGTTATATTTTTTAAAAGATAATAAATAGGAAATTTGATATAGAAGAAGAAGTACTTTCTATACTCTTACTTTATCCAAGGTATGTCTCTGTATTTCTATTTCTGTCTTTCTATAAAATGAAAATTATAGTAAACGTATTCTTGGATTGTAATGATGCTAACTTAAAGGTATTGTGACATCATTAGAAAATACGTTATGGTCTCACAATACAAAAAATAGTACCTTACTACTAAAAGTTGTTCTTGTTTTTCTAATAATGCTTTTAACATGCAGTGTCATCCAAACTCCAGCTGAAAAGTTAATGACTTTTTTCTGAGTGGAGACCCCTGTCACAATCAAGTAAAACCTAGAAGACTAAAGGGAAGGAAATCCATTTATAAAATCTGACATTATTTGTCACTTGAAATATAATCAACAGAGCAGCAACCCAGGTCTTGTGTTTCAACAGTGAGCAGTTTCTTGGTTAAGGAAGTTTAATTTGCAGGGCAAATGCTAAGCACTAAATATCAATATTTCAGAATTGTATTGTTCAGAGATTTATTTTAGGAACTCAGAAGTTGACAGATATCAAATCTGAACATCAACCTTCTAATTTTTGGAACAAGAATTGATTTCCTGTGAAGTTTCTGGCTTGGGTTTGGCCACTGATTTCTTGTATTTCCCAAGCTTGAGGAAAATGAAGAGGTGAATTATTATGCTTTCCCCTAGCCATCACTCATCTGTCCTCCTTTTTCCTTCTAGATACTCCGAGTAGTGTGCATCTGTATCGGGAACCCACCAGAGACATTCACCTGGGAGTATCGAGACAAAGATAAAAATTATCAGAAGATTGGTCCCATAACACCCTTGGAGTTTTACAGGGAACATGTCAAGCCACTCTTCAATGTGGAAGATAAGGTTGGAGACTGGCACTGGCAGCCACCGCCGTTTACTTTTAAATGCCCGTTGACTACAGGGAAGGGTATAAGATTCCTGGGTTAACATGCATGATCATTAAACTAGAAACTGAACAGACTTTTTTCCTCTCTTCCTGTGAAGTGTTTTATGGACCTAAAAAAGTTGAACAAATCAGGATTCCCCAGTGCTTCTCTTCAGAGACTTTTCTAATTGTAGGGCAGCAGCATTAGTTTAATTCCCACATGCTCCCCTGATTTGAGCCCAGAATCATTCTCAGGTACAAAGACAATAAAAGTGTGTTGGGTGTTTCTTATTGTGGTTTCAGAGCATCTCTATTCTGCGCCTCTCCCTTTCCCCTGACTGCCAGGACTCTCATGAAAGGGAGCAGTGTCCCATCCTAGTTTTTCTTGCTCTCTTCAGGTCTTCTCCACTGCCTAGTGAGAAGACCAGAGCCCTTTTCTTTATTGTCGTCTTGACACACTTATAAGCAAATGGCTTTGTTTTATGATTGGAATCCCAACTCTTTTTGAGATATTGCCAGGTGTTGAGCCTGTTTGTAATTTGAGAGCAGGGACGTTGTAGTGATGGGATCTCCATCTTGCCTTACTAAGTGCATGCAATTCTTCAGAATTAATTTGGGGGCGATTCTTGCCAGTAGGAAAGATGCAGCTCCCAAATGTATCCCTTGCACTAATTAGAATATGCAAGGACTTCTCTCACTGACTTTGCCACCTTTTGTTTCTTTGTTATTTAACAATGTGTTTATAATGCTTGTTCTTGGAGGCAGAGGTGATGAGCTTTAATGCAGACATGTGAACTTAGAGGAGAGGTGTGTATTTTGCTTGATATTCCTGGTTTTATGTTCTAATCAACATGTTATTGATCTCAATAGATTTGTTTAGTGAATGACCCTCGGCCCCAGCACAAGTACAACAGACTTTACACAGTGGACTACTTAAGCAATATGGTTGGAGGGAGAAAAACTCTATATAACAACCAGCCTATTGACTTCTTGAAAAAGATGGTTGCTGCCTCTATCAAAGATGGAGAGGTTGGTATTTTTTCTGTCTTCTGCATTGGGGTTAAAACCTCTTCTTCCACTTCTTTGATATAATAGAAAGTTAGGACTTATGCTGACTTTATTTCTTCCTCTTTGTTTCTAGGCTGTGTGGTTTGGCTGTGATGTTGGAAAACACTTCAATGGCAAGCTGGGCCTCAGTGACATGAATGTGTGAGTACAAGAAATTTAAAAAAGAAAGTCATTTGTGGTTTGTTGCAGTTGGAGTTCATCCTTGGTATGAAATGACTCAGCTGAGGTTCACCCAAAGAGTAAAGTTGGCCTGAGGGTGGGTCTCTTTGTTTCCATCTTGTAGAGTTTGAGGACTCATAGTAGAAATGCTACTTGTTTATATGCACTAACCTAGGAAGTCAAGATTATACTTTGTGTCTCAGTTGAAATTGTTGGACGTGCCTAAAAAGCCATAGTATATGAGAAAGGCACTTTAAAAAAAATAATTGATTGTTATGTAAATCTGCTCAGCACATTTAGGAATGTAATGAAAGGTTTTCCAGACCTCTTGTTTGCTATATGAGCCATCTAAACTACTCTTACTTTGATCCCTTCTGTATTTTGTCTTTACGACAACTAAGACTAATTTACATACATACTTTAAAGCATTCCTACTGGTTGTTCATGAAAATGAAGGTTCATTTGTGAACTAAATCATACAAGATTTCTTGACTGTTAAAAGATACTACTTTAGGGTTATTTATAGGAAGTTGAGTAACTCGATAGTTAATAAGAGAAAAGAAATCTACTAAAAGAGAATTAATGATTTTCTTAACTTTGAAAATATTCTCCAATATTTTTGACATTATTTATTTAAATTTCACAATCAGCAGTGGTCTAAATGAATTTAGAAACCGGGTGGTTCTACCACTGTAAAAGAGACCATTTTTGAAAGAAGTTACTTCAAAAGCTTTTTAAAAGTTTTCTTGCCAAATTGATAGTGCTGCAAGCCCATCTTGTCAGCTTTTTGACATGGGGACTTTATGTTTAATCGCTTCATGTTTTCTTGAGTACTTTTCTGACACAGTAGAGACTGGAATCCCATTGAGAGACCCAGTTCTCTGAAGAGCTACAACACACATTTATTTGGAGCTCTTGGGCCCCTTCAGTTCTATGTTTCTTTTACAACCAAAAGCTAGCTTTCCCCTTGATTGTACTCTCTTTATTCTGTACTGTCATTTTTTTACAGCTATGACCATGAGTTAGTGTTTGGAGTCTCCTTGAAGAACATGAATAAAGCTGAGAGATTGACTTTTGGTGAGTCACTTATGACCCACGCCATGACCTTCACTGCTGTCTCAGAAAAGGTATGACCTCAGCATGCCTACTGCAGTGTTTTCACAGATGGACCTACATTTTTCTTCAGACTGTTTATCCAACAGAGCTTCATTCATAGAGTATATGATTTCTGTTAAAAGTTAGTTTCCAAGCAAGACATTGTACTCGTGTCACAATGGGTTTGGCTGCATGCTCAGAGGCAATAAAAATAGGAGATTTCCATGAGGAACAAAATTTGGGTCAGCAGGGAGTAAGAAGTAACTGCTTTTCTGTAACTTTGGAAGTTCTTAGTGTGAAAAGAGGTCAGCAAGGGAACCTGGGAGAAGATAACGTCTTTTGAATAAGGAATTTACATGTGCCCTGAAAGTGTTCATATCTTGATGACTTATGTTCAGACTTACCTTCCTTTCATTTGTCATTCAGATTCTTCTGCAATAGAATGTCAGTAACAGTAATTTGTGGACTCTATGCCCATTACGAGATTTATGCAGAACTTCAGGAAATTGGATGTAAAGTATTTTGAATTTCCTGTGAAATACTCTGAGTAATAACACTACTATTTCCAGGACACAATTTGTTGGAAACAACTGAAATTTTATCTTTCACACATAAGCTTCCCCATTTCTAGGCTATAAAAGGGATATTTTACACCTGTGCTCAGGAATCATAGGAAGAAAAGACCTTAGGCTCCTTAAGCAGAAATGTTCTTTTTCTAACCTATCTAATACTAGAAGGAAAGTTACAGAATAACTACCGTGACATTAGAAGCAAAACATTAGAAGGAACTTTTCATAAAACACTGTAAATAGTAAAATATTAAAGGAAATAAAATAGAATAAAATACTACCAAAATAAATTATTCATATTTATATGTTTGGATCTGCTATATTATAAAATTCAGTGGATTTATAACTAAAGCTCTATAAATTAAAGTTAAACTTTTAAGTTATTTAGAGGACTATTAAGAAACAAACCTAAAGTTATTATAATTTCTAAGAAAGGTTGGACTTTTATCATTTTTCATCTCTGTTAGAGAGTATTCTTATTTTTCAGAAGTAGAAATCATAGATACCATATCATTTTCTCAGGAACTTTCAGTCTTTGTTTGATTGGTGTGGTTTATTAATGTGCCATTTCTTCCTCAGGGGAATGGAGTTACCATACATGTTATAAAACAATTTATATTATCATAACTAGAATTTTACATTGAGATTTTTCTCCCTCCAATTTGACTTTTTGACCACTAAAACTAATTTGCATTGTATTTGCATGTTAATACAGAGATAAATGCTAGTAGCTATACTCTAGGATATTCTTTTCTTGTTGCTGTTTTCTTAGAATCCCTATGAGGGAGGTCCAAGTCTTTTTCTATATTTGTAGGTGACACAGAGAACATCTTGTTCTAGGTCATGCAGAATTCATTGGCAAAGTAAAGAAAAAGAAACGTTTTCAGATTTATAACAAATGGTGGAGATTCTAGCAGTGGAAAGTAAAGATGGACTATAATGGATAGAGCAGAAAACCAAAACAGACATTTAATAGGCTAGCATTGGAATGTATAGTTTGATGATGTAGTTTTGAAGATTCCTGGGGCTAAGATTAAGGACTATTGCAGATAAGAGTGTTTGAAACTTATAGGTTTGTTTTTTTTTTCTGAGACTGAAAATTACTGAGATCCAAGAAAACTGCCAAGAGTAGAGTCAAATCCCATGTAAGTGAGACTCATGCAGTTATATATAAGTGGGAGTTGACAGATGAAATCATTAGGAGATAATACAGGAGCCAGCTCTCTTCTCACGCTACAAAGATTTAAGTTGTTTTGACATCGGCAAATGCCCCGGGTAGACATGAAAGAGAAAAGTCTTTCCCCAAATGGAGCCTTCTTCTTGTCCCTCTCTGCATCACTGTAGTAAAGACTATAAATGAAGGTTTTCATCATGTATATCATTGTTCCTTTAAGAAGATGAAAATTGAGCTTATTAATAAAGATAGAAGCGAGAAAGCAGTAGTACTACTTAAGTTTTGTTTTATGAAAATAGTCTTTTTACTTTTGCTTTGCTGTTTAATCTCTATTGTATTAAATTCAGTATTAGTGTAGCTGAATCAGTAGGAGAACACATTTGGAGAGTATCATTACTTGGTTCTCCTAAGTAGGAAATTAGGCAATGTGATGAGAATTTTTTTGTTTTTTTTTTTCTAAACTGACTAGATCTTAGAATCATTTCTAAAACAAATACATTGGGATGCCTTTGTAAAGAATGCTGATCGATTAAAAGCAAAAGCCACTGGCTTTCAGATGGTGTTCACTGCTTTTGGTAATTTAACATTTTGTTTTTCTTAGCCAAGTAGCATTTTAATATGCTTATTTTCTGTATAATATACAATGTAAAGGAGAAAATAGTATGTATTGGTTTGATTGTTTATTACATTTTTACCCCAAGAGATTCAAACTCTACTTTAGAGTATCTCTTTAGTTATAGTAGGAAATACATGGTCCTGATCCTGTGTATCATGTCTGTATAGAGAAGGCTATTTCTTCTGAGTGGCTGACAAAGAGTTAAAATTACATGACACCTCACCAAAAGGGATCTAGTTTCAGACTATGCACTGTTATCCACTCTTTTTTTGCAGGATGATCAGGATGGTATATTCCTGAAATGGAGAGTGGAGAATTCATGGGGTGAAGACCATGGCCACAAAGGTGAGCTTAATATGGTAATACCAACTCAGGGGGACTGGAGTCTACTTTACTCTCTGCTTCCTAGGCAATATGGGTATAAAGCTGCCCTGGTGTGGAGCATTTTTCAATAATTTGTCCTTTTGGATAGACTATTTTAGAGAAAAATCTGAGGATCTAGTTTACCTCTAGGATTTCTATGACCAGCATGGCATGCTGGAACCCTGCAAGTTGACTCTGAGACCAATGTATGTTGGCATTTGTCCCAGACCATGCTGACCCTGCTAGACCTCTTTGTACCATTCAGTTTGGCCAATGAGAAGGTTGAGTGCCCTTTGCCAGAACACTTGCTGTATATATAGTATTTGGCACATTTTCATCTATGCACTAACTCTCTAGAAAGTCAGAGCCTTCTGAGTGGGAGAATGGGATTGGCAAGAAACTTTAGGTATTAATTGGAGACTCTAGAAGTTGTGAAGTCTAAAGAGAAAAATGACACTTTGGTTACTGCTTAAAGCTGTTTTATTCTGACAAATCAAAACCCAGGCAGAAATTATAAGAAAATTATAATAATTAGACTAAAAAAAACCCCACAGGTAATATGTGAGTGATAGAAAAATTAAAAATATGGATAAGCAAAAAGAAAATTAAAATCTCTTACCACCCAGGGATCATCATTGATTAACAGTTTAGGGTATTTTCTTGCAAATTTTTGAGACCATATTTTTAAAGACTATTTTTCGCAGTAGATAAAAGCCTTTTAAGGAGCTTTTATGCTCTAATTTTTAGGATTTGAAACCAAAAGTGATGACAGCTATAGAGTATTACGTATGTGAGCATGTATTTGCTTGTGTGTAATGTGCTGGTGTCAGCTCTTCCAGATTTCATAGCCTTACTTTTAGCTAATGGATGCTAGCTAGGAAAAACACATTAACCTCAGCTTACTAGACTAGATAGAAGACTCAGAGGAAGTAGGTAGGAAAACCAGTGAGATACCCAGAAACTTAGAATCAGACTTCAGCATACATCTCACCCAAGCAGAAATCAGCCCAAATTTTCTTAGAGCAAGATACAGACAGAGAAATAAAATAGAGATCTCAATTATTTGCCTAGTGCCTCCCTTTATGTTTAGAATAGTGATTTTCCAACTATTCCTCAAAGCCCTAGGATTTACAAGGGTAAAAGTTGGAGGAAGAAGGATATGGAGGTTTAGAATTAAGCAGTTGGGGCTTCAGTTGTTTATATTTGAAAATTTCTGTCTTAAAAGAGCCCATTAACCTTAGTTTTGAACTTGACAGGACTTGAGTATGCTGCGATTGAGCAGCACAGGTTGGTATATGATGGCCAAAACCTGAAGGCCATCTAACTTGTCGTTCCAAGTCTTTTCATCTCCCCATGGAATGACCCTCGGTGGGTTTTGGCTAACTTTCTCTGGGATCTGCTGTGAAACTCAGCAGCTCATTGTTTATATGTAAACAGATATAGGTGCTGTTAGTGCATTTCTGTTCATCATAGGATAGTTGCAAGTCCTCCTGTGATTCTTGTTAGTTTTGTGATTATATGGTGCTTATTAAATTACTATTATGAATTAAAGTGCAGCATATTTTTTAGTTGGTGATTTCTTATAAGACAAATTTCATTTTCAGACAAATACACATCGGAATCAGGTGGAGAGGGATATAAACCTTAACAAAGCTAGCAGAAAGATTAAAAATAAATCACAATTCAGTTATATCTGTAAATTGGTGACAATTAAGTGGATGCAAGGGAATAGCTTGTTTTAAATTGGAAGGATTTGATATTTATAACATTTTAAAACATAATATATTGCCTCAGATGAACCTCTAGCTTCTCTTTCATTTTTGGTCTAATTTGATTCCTGTGGTTGGGTTTGTTATCATAAAGGTTAATGTCTAAGAAAAGAACTAAAGTTATGGTTTGTTTAGATGATCCTGGATCTTTTGGCTTACTTTTGTGATTTTTTTTTTTAATCTTTAACAGTCACTGAGTTTGTAGATAGTAGTGATATCCATTTGAGAGAGGATAAACACTTTTAAAGTCAGGCAAATGCTCTGTGTTTTGTGTAGAATAAATCATTGTCTATTACTTTGAACCTAAGTACCTACTCTTAAAGAGGATTCTGGGCCACTTTGCAATTTTTTTTTCCATTCAACTGTACCTCATTACTCCTACTCAATAAAAGTTTGCCTTTGCTGACTTACTCATTCTGTTATTACAGTCATCCCTCTGTGTCCATGGGGGATTGGTTCCAGGACCTGTGGATACAAAAATCCACAGATGTGCAAGTCCCTTATAGAAAATGGTGTAGTATTCGCACACAACCTACATACATCCTTCCATAGGCTTTAAATCATATCTAGATTAATTATATATCTGATACAGTGTAAATGCTTTATAAATAAATGTTATACTCTGTTATTTAGGAAGATAATTACAAGGAAAAAAGTGTGCATGTTCAGTACAGATGCACCCATTGTAGGCCTAACTACATAGTTAATACACATCAGCAATAACATAACTTTTTTTCCCCAAATATTTTCAATCTACAGTTGGTTGAATCCATGGATGTGGAATGTGCAGATAAAGAAGGCTGACTGTATGATGAGAAAACTGAGGTCTTGATTCCTATGATCTGTCTGTAATCCTTCTTAGTAAAATCTACAGCTATCCAGTTAAGATTAAAGTAACTTTTTTGTTGTTCTGAATAACTGAAATGCCTGAGATTATACAGAGCAAAGCATTTCAGTAGAGAGCCAAAAGATAAGGAATTGAACCAAGTGAGGGTAGGGAATAGTTCATTCAGAGCCAAAATAAATTATTCTTATGTATTTCTTGGTAATGAAGACTTAACAGGAAGAAAGGAAAGAAAACATCATCTAATTTAATTGGCACACTTGGCCTGACCTTAGGAGAGTACGTAGTATGTTGTTATGCTGGTGATGTGTGTTTACCCCAGCAGGGCCCTCTTGTCTGTTATCTTGGTGGGTATTGGCTGGCATATCTGAAGCAGAACCTCTTTGCTCTCTTGGGAGACATGACAATCATAAACATCATTGCTGGGATTTGGTTTCTGGAGATAACATTGTTAACAGTTTGTTACTATTCTCTTTGGGATTTCTGCCTGTTAAGATTGATGGTTTCTGAAAAAGCAGTGTTGATAATACAGCTGGAGGTAAAGAGAGCAGAGATACCTGGGCAGGTTGCCCTTGCCCTCTGCCCAGTCCTGGCTTTAGTCTTTCCCATTGGTCACGTTCATGGTCCTTCCTGTCCAGAGACTTAAGTAAATCAGAAAACCCAGCTGTTTCACAACATGGACAGAGGTTCCTTCTCATCACAAGAGACATAAAAGAAGAAATTAATTCTTGTCTTACTGGGCCTGTTTGAATACCTCATGCTGGTGAATTTTAGTTCTTAGTTAGCTGGACTGAAAATTAGCTGCATATCTAACATGTTGTATAAACAACATGGCTTTCTTTATCCCCCTGCTTCTTGAAGTACTTGACTATGCATTTTGTACCTTGTTTATGGATCACGTCAGAAATGGATTTCACAGTTGGATGAAGGAACAAACTTTGGAACTTGGTACATTTTAAAAAGTTGATAGGCTTGTTAGAGTAAATAGTTTGTAAAATTTCATCTGAAAAGAACTTAATCTTTAAGCCAAGGTGACCGTAGTCTGATACTAGAGACTATTTTCTTAACCACTAAAAGATGCTCAGCTTCTCTGTTCTGGTAGTATCTAGTCCACTCATGGAAATCACATAATTCATGATCTTTGGTGACCAGAAACTAGTGGCTAAGGGGACACAAAACCATATAAAGGATCTGAAGATATGTAAATGTCCAATGTCAGGAGAAAAGGCTCTTAAAACACCATTTTGAAAAGCTGGAAATATGAATAAGGAGGGAGGGATGGATACTTTGTGAGAGCTTGTGTCCAAAGTTGGCACATTGTGTGTTGGACAACTAAAGACTAGGTAATGACTGAAAATTTCCCAGAATTCTTTTGCACATGCTGCTTTATAATATGTTTTGTTGTTATTGTTTCCTTAACTTTTGTTTATCATGGGCAATATCAAGCATATATAAACTTAACCAAATAGTAGTAAGGACAACCCCTCTCACCCCCACCCCGCACACACACAGTGTGCCCATCACTCGGCTTTAATAGTTATCAACATTCTGCCATGCATATAATAAAGTGTTTTAGGTAGTCAGTAAATTAAATTCTTGGATGGTCTTCCTAATGAACCAGTCTTTTTATAGTACTTCTTTATGATTGGTTCACTTAGTCGTGAGATACGGTGTTCCAGTGCTAAAGGTTGGTACAGCAGAGCTCCGAACATAGAATTATCATAACGTCGTTCTTAATGCCTGTTTAGTCTAGTTTCTTAATATGATAATAAAACTTTTAAGTGAGAGTAGGGGGAATATTATTCTCTAATTCTTCAATGGTCACTAAAGGAAAAACTATCTTTTGAAAAATTCTGTCTCTCCAGATTTTCATTTTGAACCAAGATTAGCATTTCATTTTTCAAATCGCTTGTGTGCCTTTCAGATACATGAACATTTGATATCGTTTTGAACCCACATTCTTCATCTTTTTCTATAAATAAGTTTCTCTGTTCCTGATTTCATCCTAGTAAATTCTCCAGACTTTCTCCTAAAACGGAGTCTCTCGATGACTTCAGTTAAAGACACTTTGGCATATTACATATTAATCTGGAAAGAAACTTATGTGATTGATTCATATTATATCTGAACTTCTACTGCTTCCTGAAAACCAATAGTATGGCCTTTAATTGCCTCACCAGCCAAATTAACCCATGTGATTTTAGAGACAGTATGTCCCCAGCGAGGTACAAAACTCATCATATCCTTCATATAATGTTATATTGTAGAACCAGGAGAGACAGTTAATACTTTTTTGATTGTAGATCTTGGACAGTAATTTAACTCTTCATGGTTTCACATTTCTCTATCAGTAACATGGATAATTACTG